GCAGAGATAGGAAACGGAAAGGGGGAGCACTGCGAAATGGGGGGGGCACCGCGAAATGTGAGGGATCCGAGAAATAAAGGGAGTGCACTGCAGAAATAAAGGGGTGCTACGCAAAAAATAACTGGGGAAAAAACGGGGTGCCCGGCAAAAAATAAAGGGGAGGCACCGCAGAATGAAAGGGCTGTGAGAAATACAGGGGGTGCACTGCAGAAGTAAAGGGGTGCTACGCAAAAAATAACTGCGAAAAAACGAGGTGCCGGGCAAAACATAAAGGGGGGGCAGCACAAAATGGGCTGTAGAAAAAATAAAGGTGGGCTGCACTGCAAAAATAAAGGGGGTGAATTGCAAAATGAGTAGGCTGTGAGAAATAAAGGTGGGCTGCACCACAAAAAAAAACGGGGTGCTAGGCAAAAAATAAAGGAGGTCTGCACTGCAAAAATAAAGGGGGTGTATTGCAAAAAAACAGGGTGCTAGGCAAAAAAATAAAGGGGGTCTGCACTGCAAAATGAGTGGCCTGTGCGAAAGATAAAGGGGGTCTGCACTGCAAAAAAACAGGGTGCTAGGCAAAAAATAAAGGGGGTGCATTGCAAAAAATAAAGGGAGGTTGCAATGAAAAACTAAAAGGGGGCTGTACTGCCAAAAAATAAAGGGGTTACCTTGCAAAAAATCAAGGGGTTACCTCCAAGCGAAAGAAAACCCTGCAATCTGCAGGAGGGAACAAGTAAAAAATTAATTTAGGGCCCTGCGCTGCCAGGCCGTGTGGGAGCCTATAGCTCCGTGTATGGCTCCAAAGTTCAGAGCTATAGGCAACCCTGAGCCAGGGCTGGCGGCAGCGAACAGGGCCAGAGGTCACCGAATCCTCCCGGCTGGCCAAAATATTTCCCTCCACCAAAATGGGAAGGCCAACGTCACCCTGAGAATGGCGCGAGTGACGCTCCTTGCGAGTATCCCCCAGCTTGCAGAAGGGAACCGACTCGTGTGTTGCATCCCATCCCTGCCCGAAAGGCAGCTCCACAACGTGGAGTTAAACGTTTTTAAACGCAGCAGGTCTTGTTTTCCACCAAAATGTGCCTCTGCGTGGCTAAAAACACCTTTCTATACCCAAAAAGGAAAATACCCAACCAATTACTGCTGTGAGATTCTGAGCAGTTTGAGGTCAGGATAAAACCAAACACACACCCAGGGCCACGAGTCCTTTTGGGGCTTTTTGAAGCCAGTTAGCTGCTTTCACTGCAGACTGTGCACCGATATTTCAGTATTTTCCTTGGCCAAAGCCTCCTGACGGCACTCTTCTATTGATTAAAACCACGTTTTATTTGTCAGGGCGAGCAGCTTTGCTGCCTTTGCCACCCAGTGCAGCCAGACCCTTCCCAGGGCCACTGTAACCTTCTGGCAACAAGTCCACCTCAATAACTGGTCAAAGTCATCAAGCTATAGGTGGCTTAACAAACATGCAAATCTCTTGATTTAATCAGACCTCTGACGCACATCGACTTGAGCCTTGGCAGACCTGAGTCTTATCCCCAGCTCTACCACTGCCCGGTGGCTGCGAGCCCATCCCTTCACAGCCCCGTGCCTCAGTTTCCCCAGTGATGACTGGCATTACGCTGCTCTGCCAAACTGAGATCTACTGATGAATAAAAAAAAAACCCACCCAACTCTTTGCACGCAAACCATCTATTATTTAAAACATGTGACGGAGCCACGTGCACACAAGAAAACGCACTGCCAACGCGCTCCACCAGCACTTTCTTTGTGGAAATGAGCTTAGTATTATGTTTTAACTGGTCAGAAGCCCAAAGAGCAGCCGCTATGTGTCTATACCTTTAACAGGGTCTACAGGCATCCATTTCGGAGAGGAAGAAACCCAAACCACGCATCAAACAGCTTTTCGATGCTGAATTCTCCCCTCTCTGATGGAGTGTGCTTGCTGCGACAGTGTTTCCAACTGTTCGTCCCCTCCTTTCCTGCTAAGGCGGCACCTCCAAGGGACACGAGAAAACCATGCCAGCTCCCAGGTCCTTCAAAAGAAACCTCACACACGGCCATCTCACAGGCAGGCTGGCCAGGAGGGACATCCACGGATTGCAAACAAAGCCATTGACTGTTGACAGACAGTTGAAACGAGTGCTTGAAGGGCTCCATTTACAAAAAAAACAGCTGGAGGAGCAGCACAAAGCCCAGCCCGTGACGCAAAACGAAGCTCTGGACCATCCCAATACTTTTCAAACGCTTTGGGGGGAAACTGCTCCCAGTTGCAACACACAACCACACTCAGACGATGCCGCTGTAACCAGATCCCTCCAACTTGCTTGAAGATTTTAAAGAACACAGACCCGGGCTAGAGATCAGAGCAAGCATAACCTTCCTCTCAGCAGGCCAAAGGGGCCTTGATGAAGGGCCCATCTTATGTGGCAGCGACCAACACTGTCCTTGTCACCGCAGAAGGGACACGTGTTCATGCCAGCCCACTGTCTTGCCACTGGTGACAACACAATGAGCATCCAGAGGTGAGACACGGACACGCACCACCGCCTGCTACCCTTCCCAGAGGGACAAACAGCTGAGGAACAGCAGGCTTCAGCTGCTCTCCCATCCCCCGATGGCCCTCGGCCTTCGGGACACGCGAGGGCAGGATCTGGTGTGTCGCACGGCGCAACTGAAATTACTCATGCCCGTGCGGTGGGTGTAGCCAAGAACCCAGCTATCTCCGGGCATCTCGGCCAACCCCGCAGTTAAAACATTTGGACGTTTCTTATCAGCACTTGGAGAGGATTAAAATGCCAGGCCATATATTAATGAGGGAACAGGTTATAAACCCATCGCAGCTTGAACACCATGTTCACATCAAAAAAAGCAAAGCAAGAACAGGACAGATCAAAAGAAAGCCATTAAAGGCGTGAGAAAATGGTGCTGCCATATAAGGAGCTAATAAAGTTAGCAGCTCTCCAGCTTGGAGTTAAAAAAAAGAAAAGAGAACAGGAAGATCAAAAAAACATCACTGGGGTCCACACAAACAGCCAGAGACAGCCTTACTTCAAGGAGTAATTGACAGTAGAAGTGAGTAGACAACTCTTGAAAAGGCAAGTTTGTACCTTTTTAACGCGGCATCTTACACAAGCGGTGGAGCTCACTGCCACGTGTCGCCAGGACCGCTTGCCAAACAGTTAAAAAAGCAAAGATTAGATACCGAACAAGGACAGCAACCAGAGCTATATTTGCTAAGGCCGTAACTTCCTCTACTTGGTTCTGGCTTAGCGTTAGCTCCGAGTTTTGTGCTCGCAGCGGCGCAGCTGGAGGTGGGGAAGGGAGGCCCTGCGCCTCTCCCTGACGTTGGGGACACCAGCCAGCTACACCCACCGGGGACTCGCAGAGATTAGAGCGGTCGCATTAGCGGCACGCAGTGATTATCCCCACCAGTGTCCAGTATGCATCCAGCTTGCTTTGTTTTTTTACAAAAAACCAGTAGGTGACCCAGACAAGAGCCCTCAGACACCACCAGAGACACGCAGAGCGTTTCTTTGTTTGAGTCGGCCAGCTCCAGCCACCATCTTGTCATTATAAAACATATTTACGTGCCTTTCCTGCTCATTGACTATATTTATTAAAATGACAGTATGGCAGCTGAATATCAAATTGCCAGCTAGGCTTTTATCTCATTTTTAAGCCAGCCTGAATTACTGGCCTAATTTTATTGCTTACCCATTAGGTTTTATGCAATGGATAATTTTCTCCAAGAAGGAATGGGTGCTGTTTGATATTTGGGCTCATTTGTTGCCAAGACAGAGGATATTGGCTTACACACTGATAACGCTTTGAACACGAAGCCTGGTTCTGGATCCTAAGCAACACAAAGTATAGGTTTTGTATTAATAAAACTATTGTTTTCAGTTCTTTCCTCTTTGAGGGTTCGTGCTCCAGATCTTCACAACGAGATGACTCTGTCCCGAAAACTCCTTTCATGTTTTTGAAACCCAGTATTTAGTAATTTATTTTCTAATGGCTCTCCCCTGCTGGACTTCATGGTGGTGGTGTTCTTATCCCCACAGTACCAGGGATGAGAGCTGCCACAAAATACCTCCCTGTAGCTGGTGGCTTTGCACCAGTTACCTTCTGCAGCACAGTAAACACAGCTCAGGAGCCCCCTGGAATTCAGTTTACACTGAACCCATTTGTACATATATAAAAGCACACTTCTGTTTTCAAAATACACAAAACCAGACATTTCTTCAGCAGCAGAGTACAGTGGGATTGCTGAGCCATGCAACCAAAACACCATGTGCCATCACAAGACTGCAAAAGAGCTTACCCTTGCTTACAGCATAGTAAATATATTAGAATTCATACCTTTTTTTTTTTTCGCTTGTTGGGAAAAATTAGAAATATCACAGTGACAGCTTCTGCCCTGCTTCCCCTTGACCCCCAGCTTGTGTGTGACCATATACTGAAGAACTGTACCTGCTCACCTTACAAGGGTTTTTCCCAAACAAGGAGCATTTTACCAGCTAGACAGAGAGGACTTTGGCCTTCCAGGCTGCAAATTATTACATTTTAGGGGAAAAACAAAGAAACAAAGCCCAAAAAAGCCAGCCCCGTGTGATTTGATACTAGAACATCACAACTGCAAAGGATGTAAATCTCCTAGGACTGGATAGATCACCATATCCTGTACTGTGTCATTTTTAACACCCAATTGTAGTATTACCTCTACATAAAGGGCCTGCGTGCAACGCCCAGGAACAATCACAGAAATGACACTGGAGATGTTGCAGGACAAGGTTTTAACGTAAAGCCCACAGTCTAAACCTGTGAGCTAAATGCTGCTCTTCCCCATATTCCTCATCGGATTGATTGGCACACCCAGCACAAAATAAACACTGAGCCAGGCAGGCATCAGAGCTTTTGTTTCATCATACACCAATTTGATACCGAAGCAACTTTGACGGTGTTTTAAACGGAGCAGACTGAACGTGCGGTTGTGTGGTTATCGCTCTTTCACTTCAGAAAAAAAGCACAAAGAAAGATCCTTGTGCATCAAGACCTGCTGCGCTCAAAAACCTCTCCGGCAATACAGAGCAGGAGAACAGTTCCTCGGCTAGTTTTGGCTTTCGTTTTACCTCTGCTGATCTCACAATGCAGCTTTTTAACTCTTCAGGATAATAGGAAGGCTTGAAAGACTGCAGCTTCCCCCCTTACGGAGGAGGAGCGGAGGATTCTATCTCTCACTTACGTTTTGGCACTGGAAATTCAGGTTTTGTTTAGCTTGGAAGTCTCAGGGATGTAGTTCTAGTAAATCCTCAGTCCAAAGCAGAGGGTGGCGAAAAGTTCAGCGCTCACAAGGTAATTCTCACTCGTTTGTCCAAAACTGCCAAAGAAAAGTAATTCCAAGTCCCGCAGGGTGTGCCAACCTGAAAAATGTGGAAACATCCCGCCCAGCCAGCTTCTTGGTGCACCAGACCTCCATGCCAGCGCAGGCCTCTGATGAGCACAAGGCGGATCTCCAAACCAACACATCCCTAGTGAGAGAATAACATTAATACCCCTGTCCACACTGGATTATTTCAAGTACAGACAAGGCTTTAGGCACAGGAGCTACTGACAATTTTCACGTGTACCACACACTAACTTTCCCCGGGTCTCCACCACAGGGAGCACGTATGAAATTGGCCTGGACACCTCATACTTACCCTCTGCTAAATTTTTGCCAGAAAAACATAGTCATAGCTGCTCTACAAATCACTGCAGCAAGCAGGCTGTCTCATTGGCAGTGAAATCACTGCATTTCTCATGAGGTGTTGCTCCAGTTTAGCAGGGCAGGGCCTCTCCACTGGTCAGCCAGAGGCATTCGTGCAACACCGTTGCCAATATTCTCATTAAGGGAGGCTAACGAGAAGGCTCCCATACCCAACACTCCTTGTGCACTAATGATCGCTGGGACTCTGTGCCTTGAAGTCATGTGTGACCTAGAAGAGACCAGCACCAGGTGCTTTTTATTACCTTTTGCAACACAACAAAAGAAATTGCACCCAGTAAGGAAGCTTTTTCCTTCTTCCTGGAGCGAGCACAACTTTGAGAAATCAAGTAATAAAACTGCAGCATCTCACAGGACCAAGTTCACAGGGAAGAAAAAAAAAAAAAAAGTAGTTCAAGGGGACCCTGATCTTCACCAACACAATTTAGGACGTTGCAACACTCCCTCCGACGTCTGCCTGTTGCATTTGCCTGAGGAAATTAGGAGTAATACACTATCCGTGTAGGGCTGTTGGCTTGTAGGGGAAGGGGCCCCACAGTTTTACTCCCTGGAGGCAACTGTTCTCCCCACCCCTTTTGTGTGTATTTTTTTTTCAAATGTGCCACACATCAGCACAATGCTGACAACTGCATTGTATATTTTCTGCCTATGCAGCAGTTCAAGAGCACACAACTCTGGAAGGTTTTTTGAAAGGGGAAAGGGGGAGGGAGCTGTCCTTTGCTATACTGTTCTAATTGCACGGCTTGCTCTTCTATGTGACCACAGGGAAGGGAAAAACCACTTAAGGTTTAAAAACAGTACTATTTTTAGCATCCAAAAGGGTCAAACTCAAGTCTTCTCACAAGATACAGTGGAGCTTAGAGTAGAAGCTACCACAGGCAAGAGAAAAAAAAAAAGAAAAAAACCACAACAAACCACCAGGGTTTCTTCTCTGGCATTGGAAGTGACCCCAGAAAACAGCTCATCTGTCCTCGCTTACAGTTGTTACGGTCTCTATGGTTCCACACCTGCCAGTGCAGAGATACCTGCAGTGAAAAAGGAAAATGGAGGGAAGGGGATCAAAAGCTGGACTGTCAGTTTTTCCACCTGCCAGCAGCAGCTTGACGGAGCCTCAGTGGCACTGCTCCAAAGAGCAGCGAGCAGAGCACATAACCAGCCCTCACAAATGAAGGTAATAGTTAATATCTCACACGCACATGCATTATACTGATAGGACTGGCAAACACAGCCTCCTTTAAAAATAAGGATGACTAATCCCGAGCAGTTTTTATTTTTTTTTAAAGGCCACAAGGCAGAGCTTTTTCCAGAAGCACCAGCCTTTGCTTTTGTGAAATAGTAAGTGGTGGGAAGGGGAAGCCCTGGGATCTACTCATGCTATCCAGACAGAAGTAACCACGGAAACATTGTGGGTTTCTGTGGCCCATGTACAACACACACTTACACAACCAGAGCACTGTGCCTTACGCTCCTCCACAAGGCCGGATCCAGCTGCCCAGACAGCTCTTAGATCTCTGTATGTTTACAATACTTACGAGGAAGGTATCTGCTGTGGAGAGGGGTTACACACACAATCCTGTATTTCCCTGGGAAGGAAAAAAAATTAAAAAAAAAAAGGAAAAAAATAAGGCATAAGACAGCTTTCACCCATAATATGGTCATATCCTCTTGCACTACCTCCTAACTCAGTCAGGAAAGGGATCTGCTGGACAAAAGCAGTGTGCAGAGTACTGTAAGTGAAGAGCATCTGCATCAGCTCGGTGGGCCCAGTCCCTCATGCAAGGTCATTCTGGCTCACAGGGAGGCACATTAGCACTAGCAAGCCTGCTTTAATGCAAAGCTGTGGTCAAACCACAGCCAAGCCAGCACTAAAGAAGGTCACTTGGGGACTACAAAAAGCTAATGAACTAAAAAAAAAAACAAACAACAACAAAAAAAAACCCCAACCCAACCTAAAAACCACCACCAAATCTACAAGCAGATGTTTACTGACAAGCAGGTGAGTCCACAGCTTCGCTCTGGTAAGCTGCATGGTCGTCTGCACAGAGCAGGCAGAGAAACAACAGCCCAGTTCCCAGGACGCAGCAAAATTCTCTGCATCTACAGAGAACACTGAACAGATTCAGGTTACAGCTTCTAGCCAGCCCCACTTACCAACCTCCCCCCCCCCCCA